ATCATTATTAAAAATTTAGGAAAAAAAACAATTTAGATTTTTTTAATTTAGAAAAATTAAAATTTTCATTTTTGTTGATTGAAATTTTTTCTACATATTATAGTTTAATATAATCGAAAGTAATATTAGATAAATAAATGTCTTTCTTTATTCAGGTGAAGGCTAACGGCGATATTGTAGATGCATTGAATACGTTAAAGAAGAATAATACTGGATACCACTTGAAACATATCTTTATAGGATCTGAAGGAACATTAGGTATTATAACCAAAGTGGCTATTCAATGTCCACCGTTGCCGAAGGCCAAAAATGTCGCATTTCTAGGTATGCTTTAATCGTATATAAAATACAAAAATACTAATAATAATAAATAATAATAATAAATTAATATATTACTATTACTAGTTTTATAGTAATATATAAATTAAATTACAAAATATACCCACGCTTCTTGTTACAATCTTGTTACAAAACTTTGCTTCACTAAAATACATATATTTTATTTTAGGATTAGCGAGTTTCGATAAGGTGTTAAAAACATACTTTTTAGCGAAACATCATCTAGGTGAAATTCTGTCTTCCTGTGAAATGATGGATCGCCTATCTATAGACGTTTCCATTAATAATCTTGGCATGAAGAATCCATTAACGAGCCGCGAGGATGGTCACGAGTTTTATATGATAATTGAAACTTCAGGTAGCCATTTGGTCCATGACGAAGAAAAGTTATCCTCGTTCGTGGAAAAAGCTATTAATGGTGACCTCATTGAAGATGGCACAATGACTAATGAATCAAAAAAGCTTAATGTATGTGACCGAAAGTTTATTTATATCATATTGATTATATTCATATCTCAGGTAGAATACAAAAATTATAGCAATATCATAAAGACATTATTATGATCTTATTTATCACTTAATTAAAATTATAAATTAAATTCATTTATAAGTTTATATAAAGTGATAAATCATGCCATGAGAATGTTCTATGACTGTATTTTATCCGGAATTATTATGGCTTAACAAGAATCCGGAGGATCTATAGTAGAAATACTCATAATATTTACTTATGCACACGCAAATAAAGAATTAAACACAACTAAATGCTTAATAAAATTATCAGAAGTAATGAGACAATTTTAGACAATTTTATGTATTACTATGTTTTTATAATATGATGACTGTTGATCTGTTTACAAATTAACTATCCTAAAGATGAGCTTCTTTGATTGTCCCTAATTGATTATTCAAGCATAGTGGATTACAAATATCGTAACAGGACACAAAAACAAAAGAAGATGTAACAATTTAAAAAATTTATTATGAACATTTAAAAACAGAAATTTTTTACTACGTTTGATTCCTAGAAATGTAATTGAATATTTACATGTATCATATTTGGATTTTGTTGAAAGAATAAGCTATATTTAAAGTTTTAGGATATATTTATCAATTCATATCCTCATAGTGAAAATTAAACTTTTAGACCATATGGGCACTTCGAGAAAGAATTAGCGAAGGCGTCTTACGAGAGGGATACGTATTTAAATACGATATCTCTTTACCTCTTTTATCTTTTTATAATGTCATCGAGGTGCTTCGCAAGCAAATACGGGATCCTCGGATTATCAGGATTAGTGGTTATGGTCATTTAGGTATAATTTTTATAACAAGAATTCAAATATCTTGAAATAAGTTTGATATTTGCAAATAATTTCTTTTTTTCTTATTTTTAGGCGATGGAAATCTCCATGTACAAGTCTCCATACCAGAGTATTACGAAGATGTAGCCGCGCAATTGGAACCATTTATTTTCGAATACGTGTCAAAATGCCAGGGAAGCATTAGTGCCGAACATGGTATTGGCTTCAAAAAAACTAAATATCTTCATTTGAGTCGAAGTTCTTCCGAGATTCAAATGATGTATGATTTGAAGAAAATGATGGATCCAAATGGCATTCTGAACCCATATAAGTTGTTAGAGCCAATTATAGAGAAGTTATGATCGTAAAAATAATTTTTAAACACAAATGGTGTAAATATTTTATGTGCCATTTGAACAAAGTCCATAGAAGATTAAATATAGTCGTAATAGCAATTATCTAAATAAATGTTTATAAAAATGTTGAAGTATCATTGCGTGCTATTATAATAGTATTTGATTTACAAATTGGGTGCTGACTTCATGTATAAAATTCTATGCTTTTTTTGGTTATTATCCATTTGCCAATAAAAGTAGACAAAATGTTTCGATGACTAAAGTCTCATTCGAAATAGATACAATTAGTAATAGCTACGAACAATACCAAAATATATGTCTTTATATATAGAATATTAAATATTTGTAATTATATTAGATGTAGTAAAAAGAAATCCATTATTTTTGCATGAAATTGAATGGAAAAATAATGGATTTCTTTTTACTATACCTAATATATATTTTTTAAATATTTGTATATAATATAAATGTACCTGAATATGTAAAGAGAAGATTATGAGTGCTTTTCAGATGTGTTATATACTATGTCTTTTGCTGGAAAGGACCATGTAACTATATGAAGTGAACTGTAGTCAACAAAGATTTGTT